GGACACGGGTTAGGAACACGGGGTTGAATGAAAGCCATTAAAAATGGTGACACTTGTCACCGATGTCCTTTACCTCATGTTTCCTGTGCCGGGTTATTTTTACGACAATTTGACGTGTCTGCGGGGGGGTCGGCAGCAGCCGTAGAGCAATCCTGCTCTGTCCCCCTTATTGACGCTTTCTCCAGCGAAGGACACGGTCCCCGGGCAGGGATGCGATGCCAAAAAGGTGCCCGGCAGCGCACGGCACGACGGACCGGACTGGGAGCCCTGCGCAGGGGGACGGGGACAGGGACGAGGTCAGGGATGCGCCGGTCCAGCCGCGCCACCCGGGAGCAGGAGGGGCGAGGGGCGATGGGGCTGCGCGCTCCCCCCTCCCCAGGAATAAACGTTTCCCCCCCCCCCCCGCAATGAAAGGGACTCCACGGATCTGTTCAAAACAGTTTATTGTATTTTTTCGTCAGACAAACACATTGATTTCTGGACCACAGTAGAGGATGGAAACCTTTCACAAACTTATTTATTTGAAAATACAAATATAAAATTATACTTTCCACATCTGTGATGTGAGAGACCCCCATCCACATAGTATTTTACAACAGGGCTTTAGAAAGCCATACACAGAGACCTGAAAGATGCTTGATATATATAGATACATATATATATGTATATATATAAAAAAAAAGTCACTACCAAAGTTCTCATCAGTTCATACTAAAGTATAAAAGGAAGGGCTAGGCCTGCCACTGTGCCATAGTTTATTTAGGTACATTTATGACCACCTGAAATGCTTAGACTTGCATCCTAGTACTGATGGAGTTCAGACCTCGTACAACAGAGAATGACGGGGATTTGCTACCTACGACGGTCGACGCGACACACGAGCCCACGCGTGGTGTTACGAGTATGTACAGAACAGAGAGCCGGGCGCACGGGCGAGTCCTGCTTCCCCCCAGGCTGCCGGGGCTTCACCCTGCTCGGACACGGAGCTCTCTCGAGACAACACAGTCGGACTGTTTGGGAACCGAGAACCGATCACGAGGATTTACTTTCTCAAACTACTTTTTTTTTTTTTTTTTGGTAATTTTTATTACAGTATTAAAGTATTGCTTAGCTTACAGAATCTCCTCACGTAGTGTTCGCACACGGCAATGGGTTTGACTTGGATTCTGTACGTATGAAACTCTACAGTGTCTGTGCGCAGACCGGGATCTGCCGGTGTGTCTTCGATGCATCCTGTCTCTTCACCTTACACTAACTTCAGTTTTGTGTTTGAACTATTTTGCTTAAAAAAACAAACCAAACCACTAAAAAAAATAATTCAGAAAATTCCACCCAAGAGACATTTCCATAGCATAAAAGACAGCTATGAGTTAGTGTTGGTTTTTTTTTTTTTGTAAACAGTTTCATATGCAATATCATACATAACCATGGCTGGCCTTCAGTAAAAATGTAGTAAACTATATTGCTTTATTATCAATTATGTTGCATTGAGTGAATGGCAGAAACGAAACAAGAAGGTAACTGTGGCTGGAGTCGCTAGCCCTCATTCGCACTACAGATGAAAACAGCATCCTAGGCTTCAGAGCAGGGAAGAAAAGAAATCCGAACACCTTTCAGGTCGTTATTACCAACAATTACCCAATGGTTTAACTAGCCTAGCAAGATGTGTAACATTCACCAGCGGTACGCTGCTGTACAATGGAAAAAAAATAAACTTACAGCAAAGAGAGCCATGCTACCTTAAAGTCCAAGCTACAAATTCAACTTAAAATGAACATTCATGAAGTAGAAGAAAAAAAAAATAAAAAGGACAGATCAGGCTTCGTTTTAATCAAGCCAATCACAGAGGACTTTATGATTTTGAAGGGGGGGAGGGTACCCGAGCTTTTGTGGCTTCCTACAGCTCCTCTCAAAATGTCCCTCGGGTGCGGGGTACACCCGTCCCACGGCACGGTCGGCGCGGTGCCCGGCGCTCTGGGCAGGGGACGAACCTGCCCGCGGCGCTGCCCGCGCCGGGGAGGTGCTTTGGGCGCCCATTTGACACAACTAGATGGAAATCTCTCTCTTTTTGGTCACTCCGGGGGTAGCGGGTCCGTCTGAGATATTTGGAAAGAAAAGGGCGATACCCCTCGTAAGGATCCTTCGCTCGCTGTGCTTGACTAAAACAAAGGTGGAGCTGCACCTTTGTGCTGAAAAATTTACAAAAAACCCCCAAACGAACGAACAAAGGAAAGAAAAAACCCCTTCGAAATGGATTTCTAGATGAGTGGGGGACTAACGTGAACCTTAGTCTAGGTAGCCACATCAAAACATATCGGATTCCACGACATTTGTGCTATGGGCCACTGGGACTTCTCAAAAGGTATATAAACATCTAAAACATATTCACACAGATTAGCAATTTCTTCTGAGCATTCTTAAAAAAATATTTTTTTTTTTCTCTTAGTAAAATCGTTTTAATATACCGTGCCTCCCTCTTTTAAAAAATAAATTAAAAAAATCCAGTTTTGCATATCTAGCATTAGCATTTAAGGTAGTATGGCACATCCCCTTTTCAAAGTCAAGGGTGGGGATCTACAAATGCCTTAGGAGTTTGCCAGCATTTTTAACATTGTGAGACCTTTGGTTAGTTGAAACCGCATCAGATCAGCAAAAGAAAAAAAAAAAAACCAAGAGAAAAAAACCAAAGAAAAGAGGAAAGAAAAAAAAAAAGGAAAACCTTCCCAAAATTATTAGCATTTTTTTCTTAAATAAGAGAAAGTTCTATCCTTACTGGTCCTAAATCTGAATAACTACATCTAAATTTTTAACCTTAATTACGATACACCTACCAATATGTACTAGAAGAGGAAGAGAGAAAGAGGGGGGGAAAAATTCACTACACTAGCATCAGGACAGCACTCTTACAAGATAGCCATTTTATACACTATTAACATACAACAATGATCAACAAAGAATATTCTATGAGGTGACAGGGAATGGAGAGGAAAACCAACTGGTAGTACAGTACATCATCAACATTGACAAAATATCAATAAAAAATTCCCTGATGGTACATTGAATTTCAGGGAATTTGGTTTGTTGTTTTTTTTCGTTTTTATTTTTTAAAGAATTGTTTTATTTATTTTATTACTTGATCAAGTCTCAATATTTAAAAAGCGTCCAGCATTTTGCTTAAACCTGGTTGTTCTGAAATAAGAAAAAAACCTAAAATATTACATAAAAAGCATGATTCTTTTTTAAAAACAAGAAAAACAAGGTTTTCTCCTTTCGGTTAGCAGTATGGTGCCTTGTTTTTGTTAAAGATGCCTTGCTCTACCTTGTCTATTGAATGTCTACATTAGTCTACTTGTTAGTAAAATTTACAAAAATAGGAGTGCAGCAGCTCTTTTTAACAAATGTCGCATTCAGTGTCTTATACTGGCTGTACCTAAAGTACCAAATTTATAAACGTAACAATTTAAAAAAATATTAATAAAACTTGTCAATATTACGTTAAAAAAAGAAGAAATATATCCACACTACAGTATGTTCTTAATGCCACCTACCATGTTGTACTTCTAGTTTGCTGTTGCAGGCCTATTTACCAATATTAAAAAAATTAAATTAAAAAATATCCTTCATAAGTTTCCTCCCCCAACAGAGGACCATATATATAACAGCCAAATATTAAACATGTGCAAATAGGAAACTGTCAGTTTTTCCCCTACCAGTCACAGTGCAATGATGTTTTATACTTTATTTTTTTTTAAAATTCTGTTTACAACTACAATAAATTAAAATCTTCCGTTGCTTCTAGGGTGAAACTTGTAGCACTGAGGTATTCCCAAAAAAAAAAAACAAAACAAAACCAAAAACAAACTGAAGTTGCTTTCCTAATTTGTTAATACAGAAAGTAATGGATAAAAAAGGTAACCATGCAAGCTTTAAAGCCGCTCTGCCCGCAGCAGGCGAGCGCGGAGGAGGGACCTCGCCTCCGCCCGGGCTGTGCAGGGTGCCCAGAGCAGCTGAAATGACTGGACAGCAAGTTGATCTAGTTTAAAACAACAACTAAAAAAAAAAAAATAAAGGTGTGCTTTGAACCATAAATGCGTTAAATAGGAAAAAATCGTAGCTTCTTTTTCAGTCTTGGGAAAAGCAGGTTTTAAATTAAAAAAATACCACTAGACTGTTCCTTTGTAAGCTGTGCACGTCTGATAGCGAAGATGCTGGTATGACGCTAGGAGAGCTGGAAGGTCTACCACGCCTACGGAGCAAGCTGAACAGTGTGTGCATCTCCTAACTCCCGCGGGCCAGCTCCGGCAGTTGGTCAAAAAGTCTACAACTTTCTTTTTTTTTTCTTCCATTTTCATAGAGAAACTGCCTTAGGCTGACTCCATCACAAAAATAGGTTTGTATTTCTCTTTCTTAATAGTTTATATGTAGTTAATGGAATTGTATTTACAGTTTTTTTTTTTTTTCAGAATTCACAATTTCAAAAAACCTTATATCACCTCTTTCAACAAAAAAAAGCACTTATAGAAAAAGGACGCACAAAAAGTTTGTAGTCCTTGCCTTATTGCCGAAAATAGATAGAATCAGGTTAACGAAGACTCCACGAACGAAAAGAAGGGCTAGAGAACCTGCTGCTCACCCGCGCCCCCCGTGCCCTGCAAGGCCACCCCGAAACCGTGCCCGCCGCCAGCTCTGCTCCCCCCGCCACCCTCGGCGGCCGCAGAGCCGGCACCAGCGGCTGAGACTCCTGTCACCATCTCAGCATCCTTTAAGCAACAACGACTACGTAAAACAGAAGGGAGAAGGAGGGGAGGTGGGAAAGAAAAAACGAAAGAAACCCCTTAATATAAACAGTTACACTATGGTTAGGCTCTTGCTAGATACACAAAGAATTAGAACTACGTGGCTACGAGACTATGTCAAAATGCTACGAAAAAATGTGGTTTGGAGAGGTTTAAAAAGAGGGGGGGGAACCCATCGAGAAAATAAAACGAACAAGAAATGGGTTTTATATACATACTTTTAAAAGCTGTTGTTTTTATAGTACAGCAGATTCATGAGATGATGAGAGAGATTTTAAACAACCTAAGTCCGTCGAGTGCCACCTCCAGTTTGTTTGCGTTATCGGTGATGATGTAGTGCTCAAAGTCTGATGAGATCACCCAAACGTGGGCCCGTTCAGAAACTTCGCCCCGTCTTGCCTGGACATCCAGAGAGACTCTGCGGGGAGGAGAAGGCAGACACAGGACACGGAGGAGAGCGAGAGTTAATGCGGGGCGAGTGGGATTTTTTTTAACCCCCCCCCCCCGAGTGTTTGCAAACGCTTTGCGAAGCCGCGGCGCGCTCAGATCCACACCGAGGGGGAATCCGGAGCGAAACGGCTGAAATGCGGAGGCGTTCCTGGGACTGCCGCCGTGGGAGAGTGTATTTAACGTATTTACTGCTCCGACTTTCCGGCTCCATCCCCGTGGAGTCCAGCTAAGCCCGGACTTCAGGCCGGCAGTGCCTTCCCAGGCAGGCTGGGGTTAGCTGTGTGCTACTCTGGTTTAGGAACAATAAAATGTGACTTGATGTATCGGAAGGACAAAAACCGTTCCTCGGGCATCTGTTACGCCAGGAATTTACACGGTGTCGGTAAAATGATTTTTTTCTAAAGGCACAGCTGAAGTACTTGAAAGGTAACAACTTCTACACAGGCACACTGCAGCGGCGATGATTTATTTTATAACAGAGGCTTCAGCTTCTAATGCTCTGTTCCTGCTGGTGCTTAATGTTGAGAAGGAAATAAATATTAGGGGACTAGCTCTGCAGGCGGCCGTTTGCAGGGCTGGCTGCGGCGGGGAACACACCCTGGTCGCACGTTTTTGGGGGTGACCTCCAAAACCCATCCCCAAACGGCCGTGCCCAGGGTGAGGTCCTGCCAGCACCCCACAGGTCTGCGGGAATGGCCGGTCCCTGCCCCGGGGACCTGCAGCTCGGCCAAATTCATCCTCATCCTCATCTCCTGCCCCGAGGAGCGGGGGCAGCCGGGGTGGGCGAGGGACCAGATGCCTCGGGATGCACCGCCGCAATAAAAATTTCAAACTCGGTGGTCCTTGAGGAATTAATAATAAGGCTCATTTCCTCCTCTCAAAATCTATTTTAATTAGTAATGAGCAACATTAAAAGCACTTTCTGTTTTTAAGTCATTAATGGTTTGAGTCTTAATACTGGCCAGTAAATGATGGTTACAGTTTGATGTGTTGTGGTAACTGTAAAATGATTACAATACATTAATCTGATGAACGCTGTCTTCATTGCAGCGTTATTAGTGTGAATTATGATGTTCTGCCTAGGTCTCCAGCCAGCTTTGTGTACCACCTCGTTATTACAAAGGCTGACGGCCCAGAAAACATGAAGGATTCTGACAAATTGATCCGTGAACATACACTGATACGTGCAAATAATAACTGGGATTAAAGCAAGAGTGCTTATGCCACTTCTTTCTTTCCCATAAAAAATACTACTTGGTGGAGCAAATTAATTGACAGAACGATTTCAGGTAATCTTGTGTGGATGTGGGTAGATGAAGAGTAAATAGAAAACCCCTTTATCCACTACTATTTAGGTGTAAATCTATTTTTATATAATTTAAAGCCTCCAAACGTTTTCCACAGTTCCCAGCCCCTTGACTAACTGCAATTCTAATTTCATACACTGATTTTGAATGTAAAACATGTGACATTGATCAGGTAGTGCTGGGCAAAAGGCAGAGAAATAAAATCTGTCACATCCATTACATTTGTCTGCGTGGACTAAGAGCTCTACAGGTAAACCTGTGCCATTTAATGCGCTAAGTTCTGTTTTTCATTGACTGACTTTTCTAATCTACTCTATTCTTGGTGTAAGAATATTTGTTTGCAAAGATGAATAAGCCAAAGGCCAAAAAAATTTAAAACAAAAATTAAACATTTAATTAACTTGAGCTTAGTTCAAAGGGTAGGAAACTGGCAGTGATCCAAGGATGCATTACTCAGGTAATGTCTTTAATTTAATTTGCTTAGGTTTAATTTTTTTTTAATCTTGATAATTGCTCTATGGTTACTAGTTACAATGTTATCTTTTAGCTGTAATATTTGGTACAGCACTTAATTAAGAATGATGGTTTCTCTGTAATAAAGCGGTGGGGCTCGCCTATTTTTAGACCAGTGCATTGGTAGCAGATCTATAATCCCCATCGGGATGCTGTCGGCTGGCCCTCGGTTGCTTCCCCACAGGTTTCTGGGATTGCTGGTTTTTCTGCGGGGCTTTTGCCTCTCCAAACTATTGCACTAAGTGTCCTGAGTATGAAAACGTGACTTTTGGGGGGTTTAGCTCCCGATCCGTCTTCCAGTTTCCAACCCGTGAGATTGATTTGAATAACATAAATCACAGAAAGGAATGATTAAAGGCCAAGGAAAGACGAAATGAAGATAAAAAAATTGTTCACTTAAAGTAAATATAGGGGAGATGGTAGTTTAGCACAAAGTACAAATGGTATATACTGTAATACCTCCAAGTGAGATGGCAACCAACCATGTGTAACGTTTCAATGGTATCCATTTGTAAAAGCCGTTGCAATCAAAGGTCCCTAAAATTGTACAATTGTTAAGTTCATCAGTGCTCTATACATGGGAACAGATGATTATTAATTTTGGCAAGAAATTATCAAAGGACTTGAAAGACTGTGTTGCCAGCATGAATAGGTATTTCCGAGAGCTGTTCTGGTCACCAGGGAGTCGGTGTGCTGAACCCTACGGTACCTTTCCAAGACCATAATCTTCTCATTCCCCCAGTTGCAAGAATAAGCTTTGGGTTTTCCCTTCTTTATTTTTAAACCAGGGTTAGTAAATGGAGAGTGTTAAATAAATATATATGTAAAAAAAGCTACGGGATTCTTTGCAGTTATTGGGGGAAATTAAGAGGCTGCCAATCTGCAAGTCAGATACAAAATCGTTCTTTGGAGAAGTGGTAGTGCAGACAAATCCGGATACCCAGCCTTGTACCTCGTATCCTATTACTTGAAAAATCGGGATGCTGCTGAGGCCAAAGTGCCCAAGTTTTCAAGAACAAACAGGTCTTCTTCTTTAGGTGAAAAATGGAAATAAGAGGTGTTGTAAGTGGTGAGAGATGGCAGTTTAAATTGATGTAGCTCTTAGCAGAGCAATAATATTCTGCGTTTAGTACTAGAATTGATCCGAAGGGATTGTCAAGTCCCTGGCGTGACCACGGGAGGGGCAGGACCGGGACAGGAATTGAGCACAAGGGCACAAACGGAGGCAGCAGGGTTTTTTTTGTCTTTTTGGGTACTGGTTGCTTACGCAATAAAAATAACACAATTTCAGGAACTTTGTCTGCACTACGCTCCTGCTCCCCTCACTCATCCAATTCGGTCAGAGAGTGAAATTCTCCGCTCAGTTTGAGGGATCTGGGGGAGCCCTCTGTACTTTGCCACGTTTGTTGTACAAGAGGAAAAAAATCTCATCGTTTTACTACAAAAAGGGAAACAACTTCAGTTGCAGTTTTTCTGTTCGGGAGACTGACAGCCAACAAAGAGGTCCAACCGCATTCATGCTAACACACACAGGTAAAAACAGCGCGATCTGAAAAACAGCATGCAGCTTTGTTAAGCAAATCTCCATCGCCCGTCATTAGTGAGATTGCAGACCCACGCGGCATTAAAGAGGCACTTTTCCAACGACTTGACAACAAAACGGTAGCGACTTACTCGTAACCTGCAGATTTTAAGGACGGTCGGCAATGCCGTAACCGGCTGGGAGCGACCCAGGAGGTCAGCACACGCCAGATCCACGGGGACGCTGCTGCCGTGGGGATGGGCGAAGGGCAGCAGGACGGACGGACGGCCCCTCGCCGGGGTGGCTGTGGGCAACCCCGGGGTCCTGCCGGCCAAATTAATGAGCCGCTTTTTGCTCGTTTAGGAGCTGGGACAGGTGCGTTGTTTGCAAACGGGCGCATCAGCCGGGATGGGTGGTTGGGCTGATATAAAGCCCGTACGGATAATATGCAGGAACTTTAAAGCCCCTCATTATTGAGTTTTATGTTATTATATAAAATAATAATGTGAATTATTATTATAAATTATTATTAATATTATTTCTTTATTATTGTTTCCTTTTGAGATGCGTCACGTCTGGGCCGCGGAAGGCGCCAGACAAGCCTTTCCAGCCGAGTTGGTAACCGGAGCGGCTCAGGCACAGCTCTATCAGGCTACGGCAGCAAGGCGCTACGCTCGCCGTCAGGTCATCGTTAACAAAAAAAAACCCCCAAAACCCCAACGTAACCCCTCCACCACCACCGCTCGGATGTCATTAACCAACGAAAGACCAACCAACCCCACCCTGGACCCAGAAGCGGGGGCGGCGGCTCTGGCGCCGGCGGTACTTACGGCGATCCCGTGGCCGAAGCCGGAGCCCGGCTGCGGGCTGGCGGCGCTTATGTAGTTACCCACGCCGGAGTCCTGGCTGGCTGTGCCGTAGAGATCCGCGACGGGCCCTGGGCTGTTGGCCCCGGGGAAGCCTCCGGGTCGGGCTGGGTTGGAGCCTGCCGGGGAAGCGGGTGCGCCAAAATTCGGTTGAGCACTGTAGCTATTCAAGACTGGTGTGCAGAGAATAAAGCTGGGTATGAGGCCAGACGCCGGGCATGCACCGTTATTACAAAGCCAAACACCAGAATAAACAGCCTAGGCCCAACTTCTAACACTTAACCAAGGCCATGCGATAGGAGAGCAAGTACTGGATAAGAGTCAGCCCGTACTACTACGAAGCTTAGAGCTCCAAAAATATATATATGGATATATATAAAAAAAAAAGAACAATCATTCAACACACTACTGCAACCAGAGACTGGAGGTGCTCATTTTCACCAAATTATCACAAAATATAATAGGTATTTTTCAACATCTGACTTGATGCTCATGCAGTAGTAACAAGTTCTCTAGGTCTGGGCACGCCGAGACAGCATTCACATCCCATGCAAACTACAAAGGAACTAGTTTGAGACTACACATTGTGGTAATATTGATATTAAAATGTTGACAGCAAATAACTTCAATCGCGTCTAGGAAAATCGTTTTTGGATCCATTCGATACTTTTGAAAAAAACCCGCCCTTTTAAATCAGTAAGCTGTAGAAATAGTTCAATAGGTGATTTTTTTTTTTTTCTTTAAATGGTATGGAATGGAACAGTTTGGAATTTTTTTTTTTTTATGACCAAGGAGAGTGTTGTTTTATTGAATCTTTTTCCTTTTAATTTGGAGAGCGAAGACTTACCTTCGTCTCCAAAACCATGCTTGGGACATCAACCAAAATTAAACAAATAAATAAAGATCAAAAGCAAAAAAGAATTCCAGAGGGTGTATGACAACTCACCTCCTAATGTGGAAGTAAAAGAAAATTTTTATTTTTTTCCTCCCTTTTTTTTTTTTTTGAGACAGAAAAACAATGTAAATAAGAATGATACTAAAGAATAAATTTAGATATTAAAGCATGTTAGATGATCAGGCTTCTGGCATTTCTCACAGTTGCTCTCGGATGTAAAATTTATGAGTAATAAGTTTCAATGCGAAAGAAAAGTTAGCGGACTAGGAGGAGCTGGATGGAAATGGCTTGCGGGAAGCTGGAGCTACACCTGAGTGGCACTTGCAAGGTCCTTCGGGAGCACACGGAGACTTGCCGCTGGCCCACAGGTCAGAGCTGCGCTGACCGACTGCGGGGTTTTACCGGGGATGGAAACCAGCCCGGGAGAACGCCCGGCTCCCTCAACAAGGGCAGCCCGAGGGAAGGCTTTGCCAGCACCTTAGGTGGGCTGCGGTGGGCACAGCCTGGATTTGGTGCTGGGCCGCCGTCTCTCCCACCCTGGCCCCTTCCCCCTGCACCACTATCCCGAGAGGTCCCCATTTTTCAAAGGAATGAATTAGCCGGTCAAAAAAGGTCAACCCAGCAGCTGTCGGCTCTGCGATGACAGGGAAGTGAATTTTACAAAATAAATGGTTTAATGCAGCTCTGAACTGGTAGCAGGGGAAAGTAAGTAGGACATCTCAGCTAGCAAGTTAAAAGAAATAAGGCATGAGAGAGTAAACAGATTTTGGAATTCACTGGCAAACGAAGCGCCTTTTTATATTATTAAAGATTAAATGTCAAGATAACATTTGGCCTTCTCACTCATGAAGAAAAATATCCAGCTGAGATGTTCAAAAGCCTTTTATTACTTTAAGCTAGCACTTTTTTTTCCCTTTTCTTCCTTCTGGTTCAATAAAATGGATGCGAGTTTTACTGCCAAGTCACACACAAAACCCAGTTGGCCGGCCTGAGCAAAGGCAGGAGCACGGCAGAAGGATGCGGCAAGGCGAGGGGGGTGTGTGTGGGGGGATTCTGTTAGTAAAATATTCCCGCAAAGCCCTGCGGCAGCGCTGGGAGAGCCCGTTGCACCGCCACCGCCTCGGCCCCAAGCCACTGCCCGCGCGATGCCCAAAGCCACCGGCCGCCGGGTCCACCACGGGGAGGAGCAGAACGCGGCACGTGCCGACCAGCCGTGGCGATGCCGCGGCTAACGGGACAGACAGACGTACGCTGCGGGACCCGCTTTGCCATGTCCTGAAACCTTGCAAGGAGAACAGCAAACGGAGACTGAGGAGCCAGAGAGACGCTCTGTCCCCCCAAACATCCCACCCCAACCGTTTACATCTCTAAGAAGACTGGAAATACCGGCTTTCATACATGCCAAAAGCGCTGGCAACTGGTTATTCAAAAGCCCTTCTGACTGCGGGTACGTAATGTAAGAAAAAGGTGATTTTCTATCTACTGAACATCAGTTGAATACTCCACACGGCTCACAGGATTGCCTGTGGAAAAATGGCCATGCCAAAAGCACGCCCGGCGGTCCATCGCCCGGGAACCACCGCGTGGAGGCTGGGGACGCCCCGGCACCGCTCCACGCCGTCTGCTGAACAGCTGCCCGGAAAACTGTATAGAAAGGGCTGGAAGCTTTCACAGAGCTGACGCTTTGCTCCAGACCCAATAAACGAAACAGGAAAGCTCTCATAATTACGAGGAGGCTAAGCACTCCTCAGAAAGCCGCATTTTAACGATTCACTCAGCCATGGTGAGCTGCTAAATACTCGTCTTCCTACAATAGCTGCACATAAGCTCACCTGGAGCCAGAGGCACTTTTACCATCGCTTTGAAACAACAGCAAAGGGACCTTGAACAACTTTCCCAACATGCAAAGTGCGATGTGTTCTGGTATGAAATACCTGGAAACAAATTTATTTTACACAAACCTGGAATAATCCAAGACTAAAATGAAGAAAAAAACCCCAAAATCCTCCAGACTCCAGATACTGTTTTACTCGTCAAAGAAAACTTAAGACTCTTTGGAGACATGTAGCTTTATGACAAAGTTCCTGATGTCAGCTCAGTCACTGGAGGAGGCAGAACCTGTCCAAGAGCCATGGCTGCTGTGAGCTGCAGGAATCGCAGAGCATTAAGATTAATGCCTTGCAGGCTGGAAGGAATCTGAGACTTTCCCCCAGCCACCAGCATCCTGAAGTCAGAATGGGAAATAATTAAGGGCAGAAGTTCGGAAGCACGTTGCTGAAAAACCACCAGGGGACTGTGCTGTCCCAGGAGAGGGGAAGGAACCACTGACCATGTCTTGATGCCGGTCAACGGAGACCAGGAGCAAAGCCCGACCTATTGCCTGGTCCCAGCAGAGGTACTGGCCGAGCTGACCAAGTATCTCCTGACTTCGGTTTGTCGGGAGGACCCATCAGACTGATTTAGCATTGCATGGGGTTGGCAGGGCCGTCTCCTCCCCTTCCAAGGACTGCCAGCACTCAGAAGTCCTGGCAGTCAAAGTACCCATTTCCAACATGCTCTGAAAGGTTCAGGTCCAATTTACCAACCAATTTCAAAGGAAACCATCCTGCGCCGGACATTTTCACAGCTCTGAGACTGCGGCTAAGTGCCTCCAGCTCAAGGGTTTCCTCTACGCCTAATTTGCAATCCCAAGTTGTCACCAGGAAGCCCTGTGACAGATCAAGGTCGGGAGAGATGCGGAAAAGGTTAGATGTGTCTGTAGGTCACAGCTAACCAACTTTTATCTTCTTCAGCCCCAACGATCTCCCATCCTCTGCGTTACAGAAGCTCCTTCCTAAGCCGATGGAGATCAAGAGACAGAAGCCAAGAGATGTGGCAGTGATGGGAACAAGGAAGTTTAATGTCTTGTTTGCTTCACTTTGAATTTGCTGTGGTTTGTCTTATGGAAAAGGCTCTGAGCCTGTGAATTTTGACCAGTAAGTGAACGTTTGCCTGCAGGCCAGCAGGATGGGTTTTGGGAAGCCTCGGGCTCTACATTGCCCAGTGCCATGGTGGCTTGAGGAGCGCTGAAAAGCAATGAGGGAAAGCAAGATGGGGCATGAGAAGCTGAAGCAAATGTGGGTTCATAAAGCAGTCCCAGAACAGGCTTTTTTTTAAATGCAAAGTGTCGGTGATGGTGGAGTTGGGATCTGCTGTGCACGGCTGGCACAGCAAGAGCTGGACCTTGTCTGAAGGGGTGGCTGGGAGAGCCACGACAAACATCGGTACTGCCTCCATCTTCCAGAGGTGATGGGAAGAGACAGAGAAATGCCATTGCTGACAAGGCTGGAAATGGATAAAAGGACCTTAGACTCGGTGCCTTGCCACAAACCATTGCCAGCGATTAGTATTTACAGCAGTCAGGTTTTGCTATGGCAGAAGCCAGGGTTTGCTGTACTTCCCTGCTGCAGCATGCACCTGCATGCAGGGTCTCATCTCGGGGAAGTGTTTGGGGCAACAACGCACGTTCACTGCACCCTCGCCCCCGCCCAAGCTGCATCTCCTCAAAGGAGAAGCTACTGAAAGTCTTTCTGCTAAAATAAATATGAATTTGAAGAGAGTTTTAAAAAAGCATCCATATCCTCAAGACAGTGCTTCAAGGAGCAAGGCTATTTTATTACTAACTCATCCTGGTGTCCTTTAGCAGAGCCGTCTTTGTCCACATTTAACATGCGTGTAAGATGCTTCTCAACGCAACGTTCAGACAACACGTGATTTATGTCAAGGAGCCGAGAGCTGGAGCCTGAAACACTCCTGGCAGCCCAGGTTCACGCAGAGGCAGGAGGCTCGGGGCTACAAAAAGCTCTGCTGGGAGCAAGGACGGAGCTCGCTGGAGCTCGCTTATCAAGTGCCTTCTCCTGCAAACTGCCATGTTAACACAGACCCTGCTCATATATTAATCCGCGTTCAACGAGAAAGGTCACTATTGAAAGATAAACTCTCTTTCGGTGAACTCTTGAGAAATTTCTAAGTCAGGATTCATTATGACATTTGCCTTAGCCAACGGCGTATTACACTAACGAGGATCCAAACGCCTCTCTGCGGGGGCGGAGAGGGCAGCTGGGGAAAGCACAACAAGTTGGATGCTGGAATCCCACCCAAATAAACTCAATTCAGCCATGAATGGTGACAGGAGAGGGAGGGAAAGGGAGAAGAAATGTAAGGATTTGGACATTACTGCCCTACAAGAACTTGCATGGTACCGGGCTGACGGTCAGTCCCTTAGGGCCTACTAAATTA